CTCCTAGTAGGAATGAAGTTGTATCTTATTGTAGTGTTTATTTGCATTTCCCTAATGATTATGATGTTAAGCATATTTTCCTTTATTTAGTCATTTATATATCTTCTCTGGTGAGATGTCTATACAAATCATTTACCCATTTTTAAATTAGGCAACTTAATTTGTGTTTTTATTGTTGATTGTAAGAATGCTTTATATATTCTGGACATAAGCCCCTTATCAGATTTGCAAATCATGCTTGCTTTGATTTGAAAATATTTTCACTCATTTTATAGGTTGTCTTTTCACTTTCTGTGTAATATCCTTTGAAACACAAAGGTTTTAAATTTTTATAAAGTCCAACTTACCTATTTTTATTTTGGTTGCTTAAGCTTTTGGTGCTACATCAAAGAAAGCATTGGCTATTTCAGGTCACAAAGATTTACTCCAATGTTTTCTTCTATGAGTTTTATATTTTTAATTCAGACATTTAGGCCTTTGATCTATTCTGAGCTAATTTTTAAAAAATATTTTATTGATTTCAGAGAAAGGGAGAGGGAGAGAGAGAAACATCAATAATGAGAGAGAATCATTGATCCGCTGCCTCCTGCATACCCCATACTGAGGATTGAGCCCACAACCTAGGCATGTGACCTTGGCTGGAATCGAACCTGGGACCATTCAGTCCACAGGCTGAAGCTCCATCCACTGAGCCAAGCCAGCCAGGTCTATTCTGAGCTAATTTTTATTTGTAGAACAAGGGTAACTACTAATCTTGCCTGTCAAGTGGAGATAGGATATAGTCTTTCATATCAAACCAGAAATGAAGGACAGTAGAAGAGAAGAGTGAGATTTATGTTCTGGGAAGCACTTATTTGTGACCATAGCCTCAGGCATGCAGGAGTTATAGTGAATAACTGCAACCACACCAAAAGGTGGTGAGGAGGAGGAGCCTTGTTTCTGCCATATTCTCCATCAGCTACTCCCCTGTCTCACCAAGCAAAGACAATGTAAGCAAAACAAAAAACAGTGTACTGGCTTGATTTGCTCTGGACAAGCTTCTAATTCTTTCTGTCCCCCCTTCCAACTAGATTGCCTCTTCTTAACCCCTCCAATGTAGAAATTCTAGAGTATCTTTTGCTGAAAGCATTCAATGAGAGGAAACTGTTTTTTTCATTTATCTTTATTGTTGAAAGTATTACAGATGTGCTCTTTTCCCCCCCTATTGACCCTGTCCACTCCACTCCCACTCCTATCCCAGGCTTTCACTGTACTATTGTCTGTCCAAGGATTATGCATATCCTATCTAAGAGTAATATGCAAATTGACCATCACTCCCAACACACAAGATGGCTGCCCCCATGTGGACACAAGATGGCTGCCACAAGATGGCCAGCAGGGGAGGGCAAATGGAAAGGACCAGGCCTTCAAGGGAGGGCAGTTGTGGGCAATCAGGCCAGCAAGGGAGGGTAGTTGGGGGTGACCAGGCTGGCAGAGGAGGGAAGTTGGGGGCAACCAGGCCTGCAGGGAAGGGCAGTTGGGGGGGACCAAGGTCTGCAGGGGAGACCAGTTGGGAGGGACCAGGCCTACAGGGGAAGAGAGATAAAGATGAGCAGGCCTACTGGGGAGAACAGTTAAGGGTGACCAGGCCTGCAGGAGAGGGCAGTTAGGGCATACAGGCTGGCAGGGGAGCAGTTAGGCATCAATCAGGCTGGCAGGGGAGTGGTTAGGGGGTGATCAGGCTGGCAGGCAGAAGTGGTTAGGGGCAATCAGGAAGCCAGGCAGGGGAGCAGTTGGGAGTCAGCAGTCATGGATTGTGAGAAGGATGTCTGACTGCCTGTTTAGGCCCAATCCTAAATGGGCAGTCGGACATCAGGCCTAAACAGGCAGTCGAACATCCCTCTCGCGGTCCCAGGTGGAGAGGTTCAGGCTGGGCTGAGGGACACACACACACACACCTTCACAAATTTCATGCACTGGGCCTCTAGTCCTACATAATAAAAGGCTATTATGCAAATTGTCCCCACAGGCAGGAGTTCAACCAGGAAGTGGCACAGAACATGGCAGGCATTGGTGATGCGATGCTGGCAGTCGGCGGCAGTGGAGGCACTGCCAGCCGCAACGAGCCCCAAGGAGAAGGAGACCACAGCGGGATGGTGGAGCAGGTGAGCAGATGGCACCAGGCCAAAGCAGATGGAAAAGGAGGCCTTGGCTGGAGGTCAGCAGCTGGCAGCCACTAGGGACCCTACTTGTGTACAGATTTTGTGCACTGGGCCTCTAGTATGCATATAAATTCTTTGGTTAATCTCTTCTTGGTCCCCCCACCCCAGGAAGTTGTTTTTCTGGTGGTAAAATGTGTCACAGTTCTCAACTTTTTTTTTTAGCACATAAATTGAAGAATAACATAGATAATACACTATGGTCTACCAACCTGATCAGATGCATGTAGGCAGAGTTTCTGGTGCCCTAGGGTGCAGGAAACCATGAATTACAAAACATAAAGTAGAATCAACAAGACTGATGACTGATTGGGTGTAAGTAGATAAGGACTCTTGGTTTCAGGATTGGACTCCTGGGTGAGTCCTGAAGTCAATTATGGGGATGGGGAGCATGGATAAAGAGCAGGTTTATTTTTGGGAAGGATGGGAGTAGAGGTAGATAATACTGAACATGTTGAGTTGAAGTGCAAGTTGGACACCCAAGTAACTACATCTAGTTAATATGTAGTTAATGTGACTCTGGAAGTCAGAAAATCTGGAACAAAGATGTAAATTTAGGAACTCTCAGCGTATAGATGGAAAAAGATGAGCTCACCCGGCAAGCATGGGAAGGTTAACTAGGTTCCAGGCCTGGAAGGTGAAGGAAGAACAGACATAAGAGTTCAACTCCCTGGCAGCCACCTTGCACTTAAGCAGGTATTTCACAGTCTTCCTTTGAAGCCACTGTGTATCAGCCCCAACACAGCTTCTAGTGCTTCCTCTTCTCTCCTACTTCCCCTTCTTGGGAGTTGCCAGACTTTTCACTATTTGTTTACTCAGCTTACCAGACATCCTGCCAATGCTCTGCCTTCCTCTAACTGTTCATTCATGCAGCCATTTACTAAGTAACTGTCCTGTGCCAGGCACTGTACTCAGTCCTGACCATCCAGCAGTGACCAAAACTAAGGCACTGCCTCAAAACATTTACATTCTAGTGAGGAGAAGACACTTGGAAATAATTACACATATTGGGGAGAGATAAATGCTTTGAAGAAAAGGCAAGCTGAGTAAGGGGATGTTGAATGATGCAGGTGTTCTCATTTTATATTTATTGATTTTTAGAGAGAGAAGGGAGAGGGGGAGAGAGAGAAAAACTGGCAATCTTTTGGTGCTCAGGAGGAAATCCAAGCAACTTAGCCGTACCAGCCAGGGCAAGGTATTCTTATTTTAAGTAGGACAGTAAGGAAAGTCATCTCTGACACTTGAGCAGAATTCTGAATGAATTGTGAAAGCTCTGGGAAAAGAAGGGGTGTCTGAAATAGAATGGGAAGTACGGTAACCAGGAGCGAAATCACGTATGTCTTTATAAGACAAAGTAAGGAGTCTGGCTTTTACTCCGTGTGGCATGGATTCATTTTCGGAGAGGAATATTGAGCAAGGAGGGACATGATTTAACTTATATTTTAACAGCATCCCTCTGGCTGCTGTGCTGAGAATAAACTATTGGGGGCAAAGACAGAAGTTGAGGGGCATTTTAGGCCATTGCAATAATCCTAGCCAGAATAATGGTAGCATGTCACAGAGAAGTAGGGGTGGAGATGGTGAGAAGCGGTTAGATTAGGTGGGTGGTTCTAAGCAAAAGTCCATTGGAGGAGAGTGAAAATTCTGGGTAATGGGGGCTTTTCATTAGCTGAGTGTGGTGGTTTCTCATTGGCCTGGCTATTGCTGGATTAGGAGAAAAACCTACCTTACACCTACTGGAGTAGCAAAATAAACTTCTTCATGACCAGATTTGTAAAGTAGCTTCCAGAGAACTACATTTCGGGGCTTCCCCTCTCCACTTTGAGGTTTTCCTTTATTCGTTTTCACACCTCAATGGATTACAATAAAGGTTAGGTTTGGAGAGGAAATCGGGAATAAGGTTTTGGACACACAAAGTTGCCAATTAAGACATCCAACTGAGGTTGAGTCTTTTTTATATGAATCCTGAGTTCACAGAATTGATCACAGCTGCAAATACTCAATTTGCCCTAGCAGGTTTGGCTCAGTGGATAGAGCGTAGGCATGCGGACTGAGGGGTCCCAGGTTTGATTCCAGTAAAGAGCATATGCCCATGTTGCGACTTGATCCCAAGTAGGGGGTGTGCAGGAGGCAGCCGATCAATGATTCTCATTCATTCTCTCTCTCTCTCTCTCTCTCTCTCTCTCTCTCTCTCTCTCTCTCTCTCTCTCTCTCTCTCTCTTTCTCTCCTTCTCCCTCCCTTTCTGAAATCAATAAAAAATATGTATATTAAAAAATACTCAATGGTTTTGAAAGCTAAGAGCCGGAATGGGACCATCTGAAAGTATGGACAGAATCCCAGCTCCATGCCAGAGTTGGGGGGTACGTATTGGGGGTGAGGGAGCTCACTGAGCGGTGGATGCTGTCATGGGGCCATGAGACCTCTGTTAGGGACCCAGTTGCTTCCACGGGGAAAGGATTGGGTCTTAAACGAGATCGTCAGGAGTATGGTGGCGGGTGGGCCACTTTCAGGCAGAGGGATCAGCCTTTGCAAAGACAAGATACAACGGGTATGGAAATAGTGAAGGCCACACCTTAGGTCAACAGGGCAGCGCGCACCCACGGTGTCTCGGCTCCAGCGAGCATTTCTCCTCTCCTCATACTCCTCTCGGGCGGCCCAAACAGGATCCCACTGGGCCAGGTCAAGAGGTGCTATCAGGACAACAGAATCCCGGAGAACTGCGGAGCCACACGCAGCCAGCCGAGTCTCGCGAGAGCCCGCCCTCACTGGCCCAGCATGCCCCGCGCCGCCGCCGCTACTGCCGCCGCCGCCGCCGCCGCGCCGCCGCGCCGCGGTTTGAGGGCGGAAGGCTGGGGGAGGGTAGCGCAGCCGGCGCCGCCGCCATGTTGGGTCTGAGGCAGCTGCTGTAGGCACCGGCGGAGCGAGCGGTAGTGCGGAGCGGCGACCGCGGCGTGGGATTTGCCTTTCTGCCAGCGGCCCAGAGCGGCGGCGGCGCCATGAGTGGGGGCACCCCTTACATCGGCAGCAAGATCAGCCTTATCTCCAAGGCGGAGATCCGCTACGAGGGCATCCTCTACACCATCGACACCGAGAACTCCACCGTAGCTCTCGCCAAAGGTACTCCGGGGTGGGGTGTCGGGCCTTGCGCCCAATCAGGGCTGCGTTGTGCTCTCGGTTTGCGGCCTCCTCGCTCCATCGCTGTCCCCTCCACCGTCCTCCGGGAGGCCGCTACCGGGCCCTGGCGTGGCGCGTCCGGCCGCGGCCTCCCCCAGGACTCCCTGGCTCCGCCGCCGAGGTCCGCGGCTTCCATCCGGGAACTGCGCGACCCAGAGCGGGGCGGGCGGGCCTGAAGCCCAGAACGGGCCGGAGAACGCGGAGAGACAGGCGTGTCTTCCAACTCTGAAATTCGGCCGTCTGTCGTCTCACCGCGAAACAAAAGCCCTCGTAGTCAAATAATTTTTCCTCCTCGCTTGAATTTAGTGCTGATTTCTTAATTCTACAGCGCCGTTTCCTCACGTTCTCAATTTCAATTTGTTGCGATAGTCCTTAGGTGAACTGTAAGTCGTGTTCTGAAACTTTGGGTTTGTTCTGTGATGCAGACAGTCTCGAGCAGATCTCATCCCTCTTGTCTCCTGTGTAGTATTTACCTGTTAAACCGGAATCCTTCGCTAAGCCTGTTGTGCAACCACCTCTTTAAAAGTGCTTGCTGCACTTGCATTGACCTTGTTTCCGAAAGCGTGTGGGGAGCAGGGTTCAAGCTGGACCCAGGACCCTTGTTCCAAAGGCGGCTGTGCGTGGTCCGTGGGCGCGGACCAAGCCCTGGGAAGGCTCGCTGGGACCGGGAGTTTTGGGTGTTGAAGAAGGTGTCCTATTTGTAGTACTTAGCAGAGCCACAGTGTCTGTGGGTTTTGTTTCCGTTTCATGCGCTCTGAGCCTTCTTTCCGCCGGGAAACCAGAAGAAAATAAACTTTTCAGCTCTTCATCATAAAAGAAATCTCACAAGTTTGGCATGCTTATGAGAGGGAAGCACCATTTTTCACAGCACATGGAATCTGGAAGCTTGGTAGGGGAGGTCCGGGGATAGGAAGAAAATTTCTAAATCTATTTTAAAAAATTTAATCTTTAACCGGTAGGAGAGTAACTTCATATTATCAAACAAATATTTAATGACATTTTTGGATGCTCTGGTAGATCACTTTTAATAGCACTGGTATTGGGGCAAATTTTATACCTGATAAGGAGTCTTATTTTGTTTTCTGTTCTTTTCATTTTTTATCCCCAGATGGTATTTAGCTGTATAATGTTTTAGTTTTAATGACTTTATGAAATTATGAAACAGGCTCTCTGATGTTCTTGATGCAAAAAGTAGTCCTTAATAAAGTGATTCAATAACTTTTTAAAAAACACTGTTTTATCTAATCTGGATTTTAAGGTATCTTGTTAGTTTAGTGACTTACTCATTTGACTGTGCCACCTTTAAAGATCTATACATTTTTAAGATTTCTAATATATTAACTCCAGTCTTTTAAAAAGTATATTTTGTTAATGGCCCACACTTTTAAATTGTCTTTTCAACAGCTTCTAGAGTCAATAAACATTTTATTAATCTGTAATAATTAAATTTATGTGCCAAATATAATTTGTTCCTTGCATCATGACTTAAGAAATGTGGTATAGCTGAAATCGGTTTGGCTCAATGGCTTGGGGACTGAAGGGACCCGGGTTAGATTCCTGTCAAGGGCATGTGCCTTGGTTGCGGGCATATCCCCAGTGGGGGGTGTGCAAGAGGCAACTGATTGATGACTCTCTCTGTCTCTCTCCCTTCCTCTCTGTACAAAATCAATAAAATATATTTTTTTTAAAATGTGGTATAGTACAATAAAAAGATTTTTAATCATTTAATTTATATGACTTTGATATTTAATCCTACATATATAATGTATGCTTTTTAAAAAATCAATATGAGTAATATGTTTGGGAATTTAATTGTTTGCAAAAACTGGAATTATCAAATCTTGGTATACTGATTCAGCAGTATCTAATCTTAAATTGCTATATAACTTCCCAGTCAACACTGGACACTTATTTCAAGTTTCAAAATTATAAGTGGGTGTGTTTTTTTTTTGTTTGTTTGGTTTTTTAAAATATATTTTATTGATTTTTTACAGAGAGGAAGGGAGAGAGATAGCTAGAAACGTCTATGAGAGAGAGTCATCGATCAGCTGCCTCTTGAACACCCTCTACCAGGGATGTGCCCGCAACCAATGTACATACCCTTGACCGGAATCAAACCTGGGACCTTTCAATCCGCAGACCGATGCTCTACCATTGAGCCAAACCGGTTTCAGCATAAGTGGGTGTTTGATTTTAAAATTATATAGGATTTATATGACTTGTTGAGTAATTTGATATCTGAATTTCCACCTTTTGCAAAATTTGTCTGAAGAATGGCATTCTAACTTTAAAGTCCAACGTTTATTCATAGAGTTTAGGATACAGTATGCATTTGGAGTTAGAGATCCCGATTACTTTTTTTAAACTATAGATTGAGTTAATCTCTTTGAGTAACAGTCTTAAGATTTTCTTTAAGATGTTAATTTTGTTTTTATTCCCTCTGAGGAGAGTATTTCCCTTTTTCTATTTGGAAATATAACCACACATGTTGAAATGATACATAAAAACAAGAAAAAATATATCTTACTGATTTCAGAGAAACAGAAACATCAATGATGAGAGAGAATCATTGGCTGGCTGCCTCCTGCATGCTGCACACTGGGGATTGAGCCCATAATCTGTCATGTGCCCTGACCAAGATTCAAACTGTGACTTCTTGATTCATAGGTGGATGCTCAGCCACTGAGCCAAATAGGCTGGGCAGTTTTTGTGTTTGTTTTTTTGTTTTATTTTGTTTTAACTTCCTAAAAATTTCATTGAATCTTGACACAATGGTCTGGCTTTGGGGTAACATAAAGATGCCAAACTTAAAAAAAAAAAAAAAAAAAGGGAGACATTTTCCAACAAGACAAATGCTCAGCTCTGAGCTTCCTGAAGCTCCCTGATGCAGATACCATTCCAAGTGAAGTCAACAGGAAGAGTATGCATAACTGAGCATCGCTGTGGATCTACCTCTTCTCCTCCCATTCTCAAGGCAAAGGAAAGGTTCTCGCTCTGTCAGGCATTATTTAGCCAGTATGTGCCTCTTTATTCGAGGGCTCCCAGACTGCAGTCCAGCCACTTTGTTCCTTGGGTCACATGTAGTCCTGAAGCATGTACCATGAAATAGAAAGCCAAGTTTCAAGAATTAAAAATGGAGCTAGCTATAATCCTGAGTGCTGTGAGGAAGGCAACAGAGTGTTCAAACAAAAGATTAATAAAAACAATTGTTTATAGAGTTACTGGCAGGGCTTGAAGATGAAATTAATATTCAAGCATGAAAAGCAGTTCACCAGCACTCAGGAACTGGGCTGCCTGCTTGAAGTAGGGGCTGACATAGAAATCCAATCTACTACTGAGGGTCTATACATGGCAATTGGCAGCAAACATGATAGAACAAAATGGCTCTGAAGGGGGAGCTTGAGATTTGAGTCCTTTTTCTATGGCCGTGCGTATTCAGCCATCCAGAGCTTGAAGGTCCTGTCATATGAGCAAGTGGCTATAACCTGCCCATTAGGAGAAATTAGGCCCATCACTTTGCCTTCATGGCCAGCCATCACTTCAGTGGGAACCAGCTTGGATGGGTCCAGATCTTGGGTGTATTAATACGTATAGGTACCAGTGAGCAAGAAATTCTTATGGATAGGCTCAAAATTGACACCAGTCACTAAGTTTGTTTGTGTTATATTTGTTTGTTTTACTATTTTTTACAGAGAAGAAGGGAGAGGGACAGAGAGCCAGAAACACCAACCAGCTGCCTCCTGCACACCCCCCACAGGGAATGTGCCCACAACCAAGGTACATGCCCTTGACTGAAATCGAACCTGGGACCCTTCAGTCTGCAAGCCAATGCTCTATACACTGAGCCAAACCAGTTGATGAGCTGGGGTTGTATAGGTGCAGCACCACTGTCAAAGGTCCCATACTTTGCAGGTGTTGTCACCACTGCTGGTTGCAATGTGGTAGCCATTCCATAAATTTCTTTCTCGAAATATGATACAACATTCTGTATGCAGGTCCCAACTGGGCAGTATTTTTAAATCGTGAACCTTGTAAATACCACCCAGAGCAAAACAGACATTGCCAACATCTGAGAAGACTTCCACACCCTGCATCTTCCCATCATGACTACCACTCTCTTATACTAGATATAAATGTTATTCTGACATTTATAGTTTTATCTGAGAAGTTTACATCCCTAAATAATAGAGTTTAGTTTTGATCATTTTTTAACCTTACATACATGGAATCATATAAAAGGGTTGTAAAAGTAGGTTTAGAGTTGTTGATATGGAAAAATATATATCCTATTATATATAATAAAAGCCTAAAATGCTAAGTGTCTGGTCATCCATTCAACCAATCAAAGTATAATATACTAACGGCTGCTCAACTGCTCACTGTGACATGCCCTAACCACCAGGGGGCAGATGCTCTGACCAGTAGGTTAGCTTGCTGCTGGGGTCTGGCCAATCAGGACTGAGCAAGATGGGCCAGACAGGTCCTGGGGCCTTCCCGCATTCCTTCCCCAGCAGGCCAACCTCCCTCCTCTCTCCCCAGCCCCAGTCGTGCACCTGTGGGGTCCCTGGGCCTGGCCTGTGCCCTCTGGGGACCCCTCAGAGGATGTTGGAGAGCCAGTTTCTGCCCAATCCCACAGGCCATGCCGAGGGACCCCACTGGTGCACAAATTCCTACACTAGGCCTCTAGTACAAGAATAAAAAACAAATACAGGAATAAACTTATGGCCTTAGCTGATTTGGCTCAGTGAGTAGAGTGTTGGCCTGTGGACCGAAGAGTCCCAGGTTCAATTCTGGTAAAGGGCACATGCCTGGAGTTTTGGGCTCGATCCCCAGTAGTGGGTGTGCAGGAGGCGTCTAATCAATGATTCTCTTTCATCATTGATGTTTTTCTGAAATCAATAAAAAAAATATGTATTTTTAAAGAATATACTTGGGTTTCATAT